GTTTCAGATCTTATACAAAAAGTGAGGGATTCTAAATGGTTTAAGCAACTCATATAAAATACGGAGACTCAAGTCATCAAAAAAATACACTACTTTGAACGGGATAAAAAAAAACTACTTCCCACTGTTCTACTTAGTAACAGTTTTGTGGAATTCGCTTTTTAAGATCCTTCTGTTACACATAATCAAATTCCAATCACTGGAAATATGAAATAACTGTCCTTAAAGCTCATTTTTATGTGTTCATTGAGTCTACATTCAAGTGTGAGCCGAAAGGAATGGATGTTAAAAACGTCTTTGTAGTATGCGTTGCGACTCAAATATAAGACTAAGATAGACTCAAGGTTAAACGAAAGTTTACGCTGTCGCAAAACCTTGTTTATGCGATAACATGCAACTTTATGTTCATTTTTCTATCCTGGAAGATTGTGATTTCATTTTCACTTGTCAAAATACAAAACATAAACGATGGCCTTTTTGACTGAAGTCATAAGAGCGGACTTTTATTTAGAAATATGTAACGAAAAACATAAATATCGGAAGAATTAACTATTCAGACAATAATCGTGAATGTTGAACGAATGCCAATCAATCTATGCTAGACGACCAGTCAAAATACTATAAATAAGCTGTGCAGCCTGGTACATAACTACTGGTTGTTTGATACTATTTATTGATATACTTTTAATTACCCGTTGTTTTATTGGATCGAATTGTTCGACCTCTGTTGGCATATGGGCTCCTATGCGGATGCCTCGATATTGCCTGGATGTTAATTATGGTAATTTGGTTGGTTGTGGCTTGCAGAGGAATCCAGGACGCACGTTTTGTCGTATTTATTGACACATACAATGAAACTGACTTGTCAAGTGACAGATTAGTTACAGCAATCATTGAATGAGTCCCGTTAGGTCACGAAAAACTAACATATGATAATTCAATGAAAAAAACATTTTCAAAAGCTGCACATCCGTAGATATATTTACAACTAGAAAATATGTGAATCAACACAAGGTCATCAAAGACTGTTTCGTAGGCATTAAGGCAATTATAGCTAGATAGTCAGTCATCAGGAAACTGTTTCTCGAATTACAAGGTGATTGTAGGTAACAGAACGAGTAAGAAAAGTGGGACAGTCATAAACAGGGTAAAGAAAAAAGAATGAAAATATTTATAAATAAAAAGAAATAAGCCATAGGGAGGTTATGACACAGGAAAACTTTGAGATTGGACGTACTTCCCTCGAATGTGGAAATCAGACTTGAATAGGCGATTTACCAAGGCTGCTGCTATCTTAAAATGGCAAGTCTGTACTCCCTTTGAACTGATTACTTTTACACCATACGTGACTTAGTAGGAAGATTCTGGTGAAGCAGAGTGAGATGTTCAAGAAAGGAGCAACAGATCTACTTGCACTCTCCTTTACGTAACCTTGTGTTGACCCTCCAGCCTTGTAACTCTGCTGTTCTGATGACTTCGTGTTCGTTGATATATCTTCTGGCTGTTGAAAATTATTTGTAGAAAAGAGAATTTTCTCAATAAATTATCTTTTATTAATTATTGCAACTAGTTCAGTTTGACGTTCCCTGTCAGATATTTGTAGTTAAGTAGTAGGAAATCCTAAGATGGAATTTATTAGCGAACTGCAGTTTACTTCTCGTAGTGATTACTTCTTTTTCTTTTATCCCCTCAAAGAACAGGTGTTATGATGTCAAAACACGCTAAGTAAACACAGATTTGTCCTAGGGATGTAATTATGTAATTCTCTACTCCTTTGGGTACATGAAAGCAGTGGCAACGAGCGTCATCTTTAAACAACGTGACACTAAAAGTAGGTGCTATAAACCCCCTGAAAGGTTTACCAAATAAAAAGCTGATTAATATCCCAACTTATAACGAATAATTTGAAGTCCAGAGATGCACATCTCCATTTTATGCTTGTGGAATCTGCCGATTGTTGTTGATATGCTTTATTTGATTTTATCTGTGCCACCTAACCTACCTATTGTACATATTCATTACAGTTACGACATAAAATTATGCTACTGATTTCAATTCATACTAATTCTACATATATGCTAGGTTGCCTGTGGCTCAGGCAAAAGAGTAAGATGAGCTCACTTAATTCTGCAAACCCTGCTTTTCTTGTTTTACTGAGTATCGTCGAGTAAGGAATTTCGATAACTGTAAAATAATATCATAATATTAACGACACAGTGAATATTTCAAATAAGCGATAAACTTTGCAGTGAACGCAAATACAGGTTGCATTTATTGCTTCTCAACACTTGACGTTTAACCATGTATCACCAGTTGCAAAATTATACGACACAACTACATTGCGGCAATCGCGTATCAGCGTTCACCCCCTATGAAACAGGTATGACAATAAAAACACACATGTACATGTTAAGTTCTTGAAGGTGCGTAACCAAAAACAAAATATTTTGCAGTAAATGGAAACAAACGAATGTACCTGACAAAAGAATATGCATAGATTTCGAAAACAATTTAAGTTCCTCTTCTTCATATACAGTAATGAAATAATGCAATTACAATGATAAGCGGTATACGTAGTGTACAATGAAATGTAGTAAAAGCAACTTTATACACTTTAGTTTCCTGAAGTTATGAATAATAGATTCCCCATTCAGCATGATCTGTAGTATAGTCTTAATTGTATTAAAGTTAACTAGAAGTCAAGAAGTTTTTCTCATTGTCCCACTACCAATTCGAATAACTAATTTATGCGACAGATAGACAGTAACTTCCAACTTGATGCATGATATGTGAAATGTGTACGTTTCACACCTCATACATTGTATTATTTTAAGTACTCATAACATTCGGATGACGCAAATGGTGTTAAGGATTCGAGATAAACAGATAAGCTTATAGAATAAACATACCTTACTATCTTTAGTCCTCTTGTAAATATTTTTAAATTAATGTTAACAATTGACGTTTACACAATTATTCACATACTGAAAAACTAACATATTCATAAAGTAACATTCGAGTTATGTTAAATTATCTGTGGTTATCGCGTCACTTTGAATGTGGCGAATAGCACTATTATTCCAAGAATCGCTGTCATCCAGAACAAAGTACACAACTAAACTGATTGACTGTTACTTGGTATGCTCCAAACGAGTTCACTTATATGAACTTACTGCAAATTTTACTCTGCTTTAACAACCTGAAATATCCAGTATCTAACGATGAATTACGTCACCTTTTAAGTGCATTGAAAGTGAGGAATGGTGTATGTTAAACAACACCGTACAGTTTGTTCTTTTCAACAGACATACTTTTGCTTCTCTACGTTTTTAGGTCGCATAATGAGGAAGAATATACATGGAACGTAGTGTTTGTGATCTTTGTTTTTTTTTTATATAGGAGTAGAGATAACGATGCAGTGACTAACCTCAATGAATTCTCTACTCGGTTTTAAATAGCATTACTTGATGTTATGTAACAGTAAATCCCAGCAAAAAATATGCTTGTCACCTTTATGAAATCCATGATGAATTCAACCAGAGAAATCACAATGACAATTACCAGCTATTCCTACTCCGTTGAAATAGGTTATACTTTGGGTATTAGCACGAGGTGTATTGACATGTTTCGACAAATCGATGTGTTACTCTTAGTACTGTTTATAATCATATCCAACTTAAAAAAATATGTGAAAAATAAGTTACTAACAATTTAGATCTTGATGACTGCTTCATATTTCTTGAACTAAATGAAAATTAATGCTACAATTTGAAAGTTGCTCACGATGACGTTACTCTGATACATACACAATAATAAGTATGCACTTTCCTTCTGATTGGCATCAATTTACATCGCCAGTCAACATACTAAACATAGTGAGATATTTAAATGTAGTATTTTATGTAAAGATAGCAAATAGAATTCCATTCATTTGACATTAGCGTCGTTAAACTTCTATTACCTTCACCTACATTGTTAAAGAGTTGAAGCTACTTCCAACGAAAAGAATTTTATTCGCATACATGTCATTTTATTTTTATCAAGGGAAGTAGCATGTAGGATATATTTCGCTAATACCGTTGATCGACAAGTCAATGTAAATCTACAAATACAAGCATTAACACAATAGTTACTCAGTGACATCATGTACATCTGGAAATGGTGCAAACAATTTTTGGTAATATAAATTAGGATAATGCAAGTTTTCGATCAATGAATCATTTTAATATTGATGCAGACTGAGAAAGCTGTAGATATGGACTATAGATGACAGGGAACTAGTTCAGATAGACAACTGAAAGTCAAATTGATTGCAGTAGCACATGAATATTGATTTATTCCCCTTCAATCCTTCCTGTTAATTCACTTTATCTTTTTGCATATTAGTCATTCTCCTCTCTTGTTTCGAAAATAGCAACTTAGATTTATGTAAAAGCGTCGGGATTGAATGCTGTCTATTATATCACTATTCCAGGCATTTCTGTGTATTTGGATAAGTTGAATAATCCACCCCTGAAAGTGAATGTGCTCATAAATCGTTGTTAGTGTATCCCTTCAATAATCCTTTGGTGCCCCTCTAATTGGTGAATTCATATGACCGGTTTGAATAACATCCAACTAATCCTTTTAGCATATTTAATAGTGAGTTAACTGGATTTCAATTGCATTTACAAAAAGAGAAAACACCAATGTAAAATCAAAAAAAATACAAGATCAACCTCTTTTATATTCAAATCTCAACAGGCAGAAGCGAAGAAGAAAAATGTCCATAGTGCCTAAATCAATGATTGTTATCAATATTCGAGATGATAGGTCATAATAACAATAATAATAATAATAGTAGGAAAAATAATCAAAACAGCAACATATTAAAATCGTATCACATCAGTCTACAAAGTTAGGGAAGCAAAGAACAAATGGTACAACCTAGGTAAGAAGAACTTCCAGTAAAGGCGAATAAATTCAACATACCATAGTTTGTAGAAGGAAAGAGGTGTGATAGAACAACTACAGAAAAAACCATCAGTACAACAAAGATTATTCAACTATTCACAAAACAGTCAGCTCATTAGGAGAGGGGACAAAAAACATACACGAATATAAGAACAAATCAAGAAACACGAGTGAAAATTTAAATCAGAAGGATTTGGGAAGTAATCAAATTCGAAAGAACAACATCGAAGACAAGACACAATTCATATACATGTAATGAAGAGGAAAGGAGAAAATAGTCTATGGGAGAAAACCATTATTAACAGCCAAACAGAGACAGCGGTGATAATAACAACGATGAATGAAGAATATAAAGAGATCAAATTGGAGATGATTTGGTTATTCTTGAACAAATTCGTAATTCACCGTCAGTCAACTGACTAGCCAGCCACCTAATGACAGCAGCTACGAGATCTAAGTAGTAGAGCTCGATTCTGTGCGAACAGAAAGTATCCCAATGTGAAACCGAATATAACAGCCAATAACAAGTAGACATTGTACGTCATCACAATCAGCATAAGCATATAACCCATAAGTGTTTGTAACATATGCAGCATTGTTTGAACGAGATGATAACTTGAACAGTAACTAAATTGTCGAGTAGAAGAAAGATATAGGAACTAGGTATGTTCAATCACTATATATATATATATATATATATATATATATATATATAGTAAAGAAAATGTCTTGAAATCTTCGCTTTAATCGTAAAGTATTACGATCTCAGTGAGTTCACACCTTCCATTCATGTACAGCCTGAAGAAAATTCACAAGTCAAATATCCCATTAGAACCTATACTGTCAATTATAAATTCACCTTGTTATAAGTCAGCTCACACAGCACAGATATTGAAACCTATCAAAAAAACATTAGTAATTAATAGCCTGAGAGGCATATTTCGATTCTCTCAAGAAATTAATTACTTGGATAGCTCGGATAAGTTTGCGTTATTATTTGATGTTTCTACATAATTTATGAACATACCAGTAGATGAAAAAAGTTGACATATTCTGTCAACAATGTGATCTACCCCTACTACAGAAGTTAGGAGTAGTTTTCCATGAAGAGAAAGTCAGTTGGTGAGGTTGTGAACCTTTATCGAATCAGGTTGCTGGGATGAATTACCGTCTGCCTCATCGCACAATGTTAGCCGAAGTAGGTTCAGAGTGGAAAAAGGCAAGAGAAACCCAAAATAAACCATGGCACCAGTCCCTGAAGTCTTTGACTGATGATCTGGATTGTGTAGGCAAAGGTGGACATCATGGTTAGGGTTCTCAAGGCGACATGAATCAGTGGTTGGAGACTATAGATAACATGGCATGGTCTCAGTAACACAGATGCATCCACACATTATCTTTATCTTAACCATTAAACTGAATTCCAGTATTTCCTTGCTCTTTCTTGCCCTCTTTCGATGACTTTCTATAACTCCTGACTGTTATCTTCTTTATTTTTCATCTTCGTGCATTCTCGTTTGATGTGTCGATATATGAGGGTATGGCAACTTGGACCATGAGGCAGTAACACCTGGTCCTATGGTGAACTTGTCTGCCTGTCTGATGAGCATCCATGATATAAAATGTCATCTAATTCTGCAAATCTATTCGATCCTGCTTTGTTTAAATTTCTTAAGGTAACGAAATGCATGAAATATTCTCCATCACATAAACAACCTTGAGTTTGAGTCATTCCTGTAGATAAACACATAGACAATATGGTATATATCATACTTCCAAAAATTCCAGGGAAATATTTAGACTACATGGCAAATGTCTACTAAAATTACCGTAAGGTAACATTTTCGGTTTACCTCAACTTCTAAGCTGGCTTTCGTGAAGACATCATACGCATCTCATCTGTATACAGATTTATACTGAGAAGACAAGACAGGATTGTCTTTCCATTACTTTTTAATTAATCAACCCAGAAAATATGACTGACTAGAAAGAAAACGAAGCAAAAACCTACGCTTATTTAAAGACCACGTTACATCGGTGTTGTAACTGTTCTCTGTTAAAATATACGTCGAATAATTGCACACGTATAGTATATTCGACTGGATGAAATTGTATTACTAAAAAACGATTGTTGGCTAGCATAACTGCTAACATGATTATATGAAAATAAAAACTGTATGAACAAAAACTATACCCAAGAGTTCATGCACCTTTAACATGCAATGACAAATTAACACCAATTGCAAAAAAAAATGGAAACAAATCATTTTGAAATAACATGTGAAGACATTTTTTAATCAAAATATTATTGCGTATTTATTTTTATTGAAGCATTACAAAATAAACCATTTGAACACATTCAATACCTAAAATAGCATCTGTTAACCTATACCACTTGAATTGTCAATAAAATATCAAGCATAACTCATCAATGAATGAATACACAAAACATCGTCAGATCTGATTACTGAAAGTAAAAGATAGATGTAAATTAAAAGTATGTAGATTCGTTAAGCTGTGGCTTATTGCTTTAAGAAGATAACTTTCAACTAGTGGGTTGAGGGTCTACGCCCAGCTCCACCTATTAACGATTGGGGGATCAGGTAGTATCATTAGCCCTCACACAATGGATGTGGTTCATTGACTAGTGCATGAAAATGCACGTGGTTTAGGTTGTCTTTGGAGAAGGAGGATTGGTAAAGCAGTCAGTGAAGTTACGTTTAACTACTGACCAGAAATGTTAATTGAAGAGAGATTTGGGTGGCGAAAAAACCACTGTGCAATAGAAATTAGATACGTTAACAATGAAAAACTGAGTGATGAAATATACCTGTCAATAGTAAACTGTACATTCAAAAAGTTTATGACAGCACTTTCAAAGAATATCCACAGATAAGCTTTAGATAAACAGATAGAAAATAAGTCTTTAAAGTTATTTATCATATTCCTTCTAATATCGCCAGCGCTCTATAAGTTCGTCTTTTACATATAGCAAAATCCATCGGAATTTACTTGAACAAGCAGAGTCTGTGTTCAGAAGAAATTCATACATCATCTTTCTTTGCCTTGGCTATCTGTATAGCTTATCTGTAAAAACCATTATCCTCCCATTCATTCATCCCACAAACGTTTGAGATTACTATTATTATTATTATTATTATTATTATTATTATTATTATTATTATTATTATTATTATTATTACAGTTTTAGCCATCCTTCTCTTCTCCTTCTTGTTTCTAATTGACTACTGGACATAATGATCCATTTTGTATTCTCGTGTTAGTTACTATTACACAAACTATCAGTTATACCCATCATTACTATATAAAACAACCTGTTCAAAATTTTACAAATTTTACCATGTAATCATTCTCTACTTTAGCTACAGTTTTAATTACCTTGATTAGATATCACCTCCCCTTGATAACTCTATTATGGAGGAATTTTTTGTCAAACAATACTTATCATACGTATTTTCAGTTGTGTTTAATATTTACTGAGAAGGAGATATATTAAGTCTGTTTCCGCATCACAACTACAGTTGGAAAGGTTAATAGTAATAGTGATAATAATAATGGTTTTATTCTGAAAGATATCTCGGGAATACCGTACGGAATTTCCAGCATGTCATATAGCATCAGTTCATATGTACAAATAATAAAGTGAAATAAGTAGAAATTACATATAAAAGATAAGAATATTTGCTTCATCAGTAAATTTCTTGAAAATGGACAGTTAACGCAGGTAAACAGTCACACTAGCGATCTTATTCGTAATACATAAATAACAGTAAGCTATGTAATCTTTAATCAGTTTGCTTTTAAAATCAAAAGTCAATAAAGTTAGTTGATTTCCGACACTTTCTTTATCGCATAGGATACGAGCTAAATACGGTATGTTAGAGATTTTATATTCAGTTGTACGTTCATAAATAAATAAATATTTTATTATTATATTAACATGAGAGAAGCCGATTTACAGGCATCATCAAATTGATAATGGTTGAGATATCTACAACATTTGAGTAGTACTGAATGGTGCAGAAGGGAGTATACTAAACTCTAACATAATATTAAAAGTGTCTGCAGGTTATGAAAAGAACAAGAAAATATCACCCTCAGTAACTACATAGTGTTTATAAGTTTATATTATTTTCAGTTAATTTTTTTCACTCATAGGCGGCATTAAGATCGCGCCACATTCGATGCTTGAGTTACAAGTGGCTGACATGTTTGACCCATCTGTGTAATTCGATATTTCGTCAGATAAATATCTATTTTATCATCAATTCATATGTTTACAGCTTCATTGGCCAACAAAAACTCACTTCAACTATTTCAGGTATCAGTAAGTGTCCATATAATCATATAATATCTAGGTTCAAGTATTTCCTACTCGTTGTGTTACAATACTACTAGAAACAGTTGTTGTGGTGCAAAAGGATGAACGTTAAAAGAACTGTCGTCCAATGGAGACCTTTCATGTGGAATTCACATTGAAGTATGTGGCATTATCGAGGAGATATATTGGTTGCTATCTTCTAATATATGGAGTCGAATGAGATAAAGTACTAGAGAAATCCGTTGAGTAGCACTGTTGCTAACATATTGCCTTTAGAGTCACTGGGTGAATTGGTCTCTTAGATCCAGATTTTCGTTACCATTATGACTATCCAGAAATTTTGAAGCAGTTATTGCAGTTAGGGCTTCGTATATGGCAGGTTTTAGGGTGTTGGCAAGCAGGTGAGTTTAACGTGAAACTGTTCAAAAAATTGGAAAACTTTGGAGGAAACCAGCTGAAGAATTCTTGAAACAATTTCTAACATCAAGTAGGAAGTAATATTCTCAGTAAGTTATTTTTTGGCCAAAATTATGCTTAAGATTTTTTCGACACGTTTATGCTGAAAAGAAAAGAAGTCTTATATATTTGCTCCTGGTCTTGCCTGGGGACCGAGCTTCAAGTGAAGAGAATCCTCGTCATCTGATAAAATAAGTTCTGCAAGATGCTTACATGAATTAATATGTCTGTTCATAACAGTTTCAATTATAAGGTTTATAGCTACACCACTAGTTCTCCTGACAATCTTCAACATTTCATATAATACAGCATAGTCTATTTTTAGCAACCCAGGAAAGATTAAAGGGGAACAATAGAAGAGAATAAAGCAAACCAAATGAGCTTATAAAACGCAAGAGATACCAGATACTATCAGCTTCCTAATATAGTAAATTAGGAGGAGTATCCTTTTCGAAATTAGTAAGATACAGTAGGACAAGGAAAGGTCTGAAGAAAACATGCCGAAATAAATAACACCTGTAACATTTTAGTTGAATGATCTAAATGAATGAAAGTAATGTATAAAAATTTCAATTCAATCAAAACTCGATAACACCAAATTCTCTAGAATGAAGTTATCACATTGAACACATGAACAGTTCACAAATAACACTACTGGAAGTATTATTGGCAGCTAAAATAATTCTAAAGCTCTCATTATAAATGTTTATTATTGTTTCTTAGCTCAAAAGGATATCTGTTTCTTTTTCTATTTCACTCAATTCATTTTAAAATCCACTTTTATGACTATATTCTTTTATAAAAAAGTAATTGGTTCCTTTATGTACTA